GTATATAAGACGTAACTTTGATAATAAATTATTCGCCTTATACCATGATATCGAATGCGGGAGCCGATTCCGAAGCTAAATTGGGGATGTCAGAAGACGTTTGCGTGAAATATGACGTATATTAATTTTTAGAAAATCACTTATTGAAGGGATCGAAAGGCATACCCTTCTCGATTATATCTTTTTGTGATTACAACTGAACGCAGTCTTCCAAATTAAATATTTAAAAAACTTATAGTTATGATTCCATCTATTGCTATTTTTTTTTGTTACGGTAACGGCAAACGAGCAGACGGGTCGCCTGAGCTAAGCTCATGTAGTGTGTCAAGTGTTATTGTGTATAATCAATCGTTTGTTAATTATATTTCAATGGCTTTTGCTATATTTACTTTTGATATAGAAAAAATAGATTTCGATGTTGTAAAAATTGAGGCCACGAAAATTTACTTTGTATGTAACGCAAAATTTTAATCAAATTTATCCGTATTTTAAACTAAAATTTGAGAGAAGATTTTGCACCTACAATTTCTCCTCTGTTTCAACACCCTCTAAATGACAAGTACTCAACAGTCCATATTTTTACTTCACACCCTTATTAGCATGGGAATTGGTGCCAAGTTAAAATGAAGTTAATTAACAGAATTTGGTTTTGCTTGATGTGGAGCAGAAAGTTAAATAAACTTTGTGAGGTTAAAAAGTTTATTTAATGGAGTATCGAGCTTTTAATTACCGTAAAAAGGCAGGAGTACAACTTGTTATAGGAACCACAGAGTCACGTAAGAAAGTACGTCATGACCACTTCAGTGAGTATGTGGTTTATATAAAGTTCTTTATTAATATTATTTTTTAACATGGGAGAGGCGTGTTCCAGGCACATATAGACCGGTTCGATTCATTTTTTTAAGACTACTTTCGCCCTAGAAATATATCCTGTGTCGCGGGGAACTTTACAAAAATACATGAAACGGACACAAAGAACACCCAGACTCAGAGCAACAATTTGTGGATTACCTACACAAAGTGTCGTCCCATGTGGGAATCAGACCCATAACACTCAGCGTAGTAGTATGCGACGTGGTGACCGCTTAAACCACTACGCCATCCATGCAGTCCTACCATATTCTATCCTTACAGGCAACCAGAGTTAAGCAATTGTTTCGAACGAGCTTACCTAAGCCCAATCCTCTCGAATTCTTGACTCAGACGGCGGCAACGAAAAATAACATAAAATATGAAAGTGCAATTTTGTATACGATTCAACTATATACCATATACAACAATATCAAAGGAGACAGTAGGTCGCCTTCTAATGCTATAATAATCCATATTAATATTATAAATGCGAAAGTGTGTCTGTCTGTTATCTCTTCACGCTTAAACCGCTGAACCCATTTAGACGAAACTAGGTATAGAGATAGTTTAAGTCTTAGGAAAGTTCATAGGATAGTTTTTATTCCAGAAATCATCCTTTAATAACCGCTCAGCCGATTTCGATGAAATTTGGTATAGAGATAATTTGATTCTTGAGAAAGGACATTGGCCACTGTTTACCGCGATAATCGACATACACGCGGACGGAGCCATGGGCAAAAGGTAGTCGCTCATAAATTTTAAGTAGGTATACCTTACTACACATTACTATTTATGTAGTACGATAAACCTAATTTTTTTGTACTACTGTACGAAAAAAACCTTAAATAATCCATCTTGACCCAAACAAGGCAGTTTGTACTTCTAGAACACATAAACTTTTTTTTTTTTGGGATTTATATAAATATTTCTTAAATTGATAATTACATGAACATCGAATCACCAAATACAATGGAATAGAATAAACAAATTTAAAAAATAAAAAGACAACATTAAATGGAACAGCATCCCCCGAGGCCAACCGACATTCTTCACGGACGCGAATAAATTAAATAAGAAATCCCTAGCGTGCCCTAATTTTGAGCAGGCAACGCAAATATGTCCCGACTTAATCCCATGACTGTAATTAAGCTTAGCCTGGGTCGGTGTGGCCTGCTCGCCTGTTCGGGCTTTCAGCGGCCTATTGCGGGGCCCTGAGTGACTTGTGGGATCAGCCGTGTTATCATTTACAGGTTTTTGAAATGTAATATTTGGATTCCTTTGAAGTATTTTTGTGGTTTGGTTTAACACAGTTTTATTTCAACTTCTTTATACAAGTTCTAAAATAAAAACTAATCGCAAGAAGCGATATTGGTCCTTAGGTGAAACATTGGTTTGCACGTTTTTAAGGAATGCCCCGGCAAATTGACGATGAATGATGCTGCAGATATGAACAAAAAACAAAGGTGCTTTTAATCGCGACTTGAACATTCGTGTTTTGATTGCAGGGACGTAGTGCGCTCTTTTTCATCCAGTACCAACTTTGTATTCGGGTCTAGGGGCCATTCTCGAACATGTAAGTTTCATCCTCTGAAAGCCACATTTTTATTTTTTGAAATATTTGTGTATTTTTACCCGATTGCGGCAAATGAAAATGAGTGTTTAAAAAATTTAGTTTAGTTTAAAATATACCTTAAGTTAAACATACACATACAATTTACAGGTTTATTAGTTAGTATGTTTTTGTATTATTTAAATAGTTGCTTAATATAATCAGAACGACGCTATTTAGTCTTTAGATTTATGCTTAACCGTTAAAAAGGTTTTTCATTATCTATCAGAAGAAAAAACTTACTGTATATCTCTTAAAAGTAACGCTATCATTCATTTAAATACACTTTACAGTTACATTGAGGTCTTCAAAAAGTTTTTCATTTATTAAGATCCTTTTCAAAAAGTTCGAATAAAATGACGAAAGTTTCGAAGCGATTCTGTTTTGACTTAGTCATGATTTTTATATTTGATGTTAAGCTACTTTGTTAGATTTTCGCTATTGACGGTAATTTTGTTAATTTTGTATTAAAATTATTCCGTTAACTTAAATGCTTTGAAAGTCTTACATCAAGCTCAAGCAAGAAGCATACCGGTATCAAAATGAATGAACTTTTACATAATTATACATGTAAAAACATAATTAAGAGTAGTTAAACACAAAAAAATATTTTTTAAACTCATTCATGCAGGTGATTACATGATTTGTACTGAAAGAGATTTTATCTTTACAATATCCCACAGTGAAGCGTGGCTGGTTACAGCCAGTTTATTATAATTTTATCATAGTAAGTGTTCCAGAGGGTTTATTATTTATGGGCTTTACTTAGTGTAAGTAAGAAAATAAAGAAAATAAATAAGAAAATGTTTTTAAATAAGTTGTATAAAGAAGTATGCGTATTTTAAGTGTGTCATTACGACAGGATGCCGTATAAATCACCGTGAACATTCAGCAGCCGTGCGAACTGCTGACCGATTTTGCGTGTATAAACCCGGCCCAGCTCTGGTATGGCTTCCTAACTCACGCAATACAGTTTATGTTTTAATCTTAGAGATAAGAATATAATGCAAACGCTTATAGACATAATACATTTTTCCTTTATTTTACTTAAGAGTTCAATCAACTTAGTAGTTAGAACTATGTAGGTATAGTAAACCTCAGCATAAGTTCTAAAGCAAAATAAAATAAAAAACAATTTAAATAAGAATACCTACATATATATATATAAGGTACACATTTGGTCTACTATTATGTATTCTAACTCACGTAATAGCGGCAAACCAAGTATATCGGCGTCAATCCGGGGCTTTGGGAGTTAAGTATGGGACAATAAAGAATATATTCAAATGAAAAGACAACAGAAAAAAAGGAATATTACTACTCGTAATACATTGGTTACTGTAAGCAATAGTATGTACGTATAACCTGTTACTTGTTACTGAGCAGACAATGGCTTGAAGTCCGAGCTTCCCAAGAAGTTTTTAAGATGCAACAATTAAGTATTGTTCTTTGGTTCTATTTGAGAAAGGGACTGGGCCTCGGAGGACGTCTTCTAGAAAAGAGGACCGACTTCAAACAGATTAGAAGGGACTATAATAGCAATACAAAATGTTACAAAGTATTATATTGAGTGTACTTATTATAGTTTTTTTACCTAGATTGGTAATTATTTTTTTAATTTTTAGCGCTCTTTGTCAGTATGGTCAAACCATACTGTCAAAGAGCGCTAAAGTTGGTTCAACTTTTTTTTAAAAGGAGTTTTTATCTCAAATACCGTCCACTTTGTCTTTTGTTCGACGGTTTGGTGCGGGGGCCGCACAGCCCGATGAGACGCAGGAACATGTTCCCCCGAGTTGAAGGCTGGAGGACTTCAAGACACTGGAAGAGGGCAGATATTATTAAAGGCACGGGTTATATAATGCCCTTCTTCGTGCGTATTTCTGCAACTCTACAATGCCCGTGAGACCCGGGCTTGACGGTAACGACTCGGCCCAGCATCCATAGAAGAGGAGGTAGGTAAGCGTCTTTCACCAAGACCATGTCTCCTGCCTTAAGGTCTTGTCCAGAGGTCTGCCATTTAGTCCTTTGCTGGAGAAGGGAGACGTACTCCTTTGAGAAGCGCTGCCAAAAATGCTGCCTCAACTTCTCGATACGGTCGAAGCGTGACAGTCGCGGTATGTTAACGTCACTGATGTTTGGTCGAGGAACTGACGTAAGAGCTCGTCCGAGGAGGAAGTGTGAAGGAGTAAGGCAAGTTAAATCAGAAGGATCAGTGGATAGAGGTGTCAAAGGTCTAGAATTAAGAATAGCCTCCACCTGAGCCAGACACGTTGAAAGTTCTTCATATGTCAAGTGAGTTAAGCTCATTAATCTACGTAGAAGATGTTTCACTGACTTTACCGCCGCCTCCCAAATGCCACCAAAATGTGGGCTATATGCAGGTATAAATTTGAATTCAATGCCTTGATTTGCAATTTCAGACTCTATGACTTCAGAGGAAACCTGTAAAAAGCTTGAAATCTCATTAAAAGCTCCCACAAAAGTAGTACCGTTGTCGGAATACACGCGCTGAGGCTTGCCCCGACGACTAATGAAACGGTTAAAGGCCGCAAGAAAAGACTCCTTTGTGAGGTCGGAGACCAACTCCAGATGCTTTTATGAGTTCTCCAAGTAATTGCCCCTCATTGTTAGAACCTACAAAACCGATACTCTCATCAGAAGCAAAATTCAGAGTCCCCAGTGTAGATTTATATTTTGATCCTGATACAAGAACAAGACTAGCACCAACTATTGGGTCTGGAGAATATCGAGAGTCTGTTGATGGAGGTCCTCTAGTTGATTTAAGAGAGGAAGAGAGATGATTTAAGACAAGTAGTTTCTTGTCAACCTCACTCATATAGTTTGTCATACTGTTAGCTGTATTATTCCAAGATCTTGATATATGATCTAAAGACTGTTTAAAAGCATCATATTGAGCCATGGAATTTGCTGCCACTGTCACTAAATCTGTGGCAGTTGTTGCTATGTCTGACAAGGCCGCCCTAGCATTACGAGCTATGGCTGCAGAATAAGAGATTACAGCAATTTTAATCGAGGCATGTAAAGTTTTGTAACCCTCTGTCATGTCAACCAGAATTCCATCCATTATTGTAGATAAATCATCTCCAGTGATTTGGATTAGATTTCTGTATTTGGATAGGAGACTCCTCCTTGTATCATGAGCCACATCACACAATTCTTCTATAACATCAATTATTTTTTGATCCAATGGGTCTTCAATCTGAGACCAATAATTTTTCAAAAGTGCTAGTAATTCATGCTCTCTATGCTTGGACGGGTTGTATTCGGAGGATATGGGGGGAATGTTAATTATAGGAGATTGGCCAGTTAATACGTCTGATGTCTCAGCTAGATCATTAGGTGTTATACCTAAATCAGACAAATTTATTTTAGAGGTTCCGGGGCATGGAGGACAGGATTTCTTATTAGGCATGATTACAACTGGAAAATGAAAATGAAACCCGCGTTGAATAATGGTGGTATAGTTTAGGAGTTCAACTTTCTCAATAATCTATGAAGTGATGAGAAATTTTAAGTATTGTTTTCTTAAAAATATGGCACCAATTACGTTTACTTAAGTTATAGATATCCAAATGGCAGTTTATTTATATTGATCTTGATTAAATATATTTTGCCTCGAGTCTGTTATAAATATTATTCCCACTTATATAAAGGGATCATCTATTTTGATCCACTGATTTTGCTGATTTGGTAAATGTTTGGAGATGTTATGTAGCATTCTAACCCGAAGTTCCTTATTGGCATTTGTATAATTTATAATAAAATCCTGATTTTTCTTTAAGTAGATGATTAACAGATTTAAATCTTTATTTAAGACTTTTTCAATAGGTTTGGGTTTTCCAAGTGCTTTTATGAGGTTAAGACGGCATTGCAACTCAGAAGATTGAAAAGAATCTAAGCCAGTTTTCGGTAAAAGCCTAATAAAGTTACTAATACAAGTAAGCTTAGCTTTAAAGCTGCCACGCCTCTTTACAAGTTCTCTCAATTTTGCTTCAGACATAATTAACTATATATATCAAAAAATAGGTCTAAAATGCAAATAAGACGAAAGAAACAAGAAATAATATAACAAAGGCAACGTATAAAATGCATAGATAACTGACGAAGCGGTAAACAACAGCCGATGATTCTACCGGCGCACAAAACCGGTTTACATGCAATACGGCAAAAATGCACCCGCTAATAAATAAAAATGTTGAATGCAATAAGCAAAAGATTAAGAATGACTATTATATCTTACTAAAAATTCAAAGGTAAACGATGTTGATGAATGGGATATTTGGATGAAGACTACGATACAAAGAGATCAATATGCCTGATCCAGGTAGTACTACTCAAAAATTCCCGGTAAGAAAATAAGAATATGATAAGGATTAAAGGATATGGAACGGACTCACTCTCAATAAAGTTCTTTAACGTTGACTGTGCTCCTGTTGTAGTGCCCTCTGGGTGACCTCTGAGGCTGGCGCGCACGATGTAAGCGTGCGTGGGCGGTCGGGTAGTCCTGAGTCCACGTGTTATGTGCGCAGCTAAAACACGCCGATCTTCCGACAATGCAGGATCGCTGTGTGACTTAAAAAAATTTGTTAAGACTGGATGACTTCCTTAGGACGGAGTCTATGAAGCTTGTTTCGATTTTCTAAGGGCAGCTGGCTTCTCTGAGATACTCAAAAGACCTTTGGACGGCTTCCCAATGACGGAAGGGTCCCGGCTGAGTTTCTGAAGACAGCTGCTAAGTATCTTCTGTTGCGGAAGAACCGCTGGTAACTTTCTTGACAATCGAAGGACCAATGTCTGAATGCCAAGCTCCAGTTGTGTGGCTGGTGTGCTTGACTGGATGTGTGTTGTAAGCGTTGTAAAAATAAACGCGTAGTAGACTGTATATACTGTATTTCACTTGTTACAATGATTTATAAAAAGTGATGTGCACGCGTGGACATTTCTTGAGCGAGTGTCGGCCCGCGCCGAGCAGCTCTCGCCCGGCCGTTGTTGAAGGTCGCGGAACCGGTTTGGTGCGGGGGCCGCACAGCCCGATGAGACGCAGGAACATCTAGTCTACAGTCAGCAAATTCAAGTCATACAATGCAAATACAGATCGAAGCTGTGTAGTTGTTTAGATTATAGTACTAATCGATGTGAAAACTTTTGCGTGTCTAACAAGATTCTTATTATTATTATTACTTCGCAGTTCGGTGTATCTTCATTAGTTAATACTGAAGTATGTTTATTGTTGTGTGTGGAAGTCATCACGTATTATGTACGTAACAAAATGGTCTCGCACTCTATGTTGTTGCTACTTTGATTAATTTTTGGATTACAAAGATTTCTAGCATGTTCAATGACGAATTGTATTTATTACTAAGTCATAATAATCCAATTTACAGGGCAATACATACTGCACAATAAAGACGGTCGTAATTGTTTCCATAAACATATTCAATCGTAACCATCACTATGTTTGGATTGAGATCAAACCTAACAACGTACTGGTCAAAATATACTTACTTGTTCAACAACTGACATCAAAGAATGAACAGGCTCATAAAGAAGATGAAAATAGCTTTACTTAGGGTGTTTACAAATAGCGATTACTTCGTTAAAGTGTAAAGTGAACAGGGGTTAATGTTGGATAGCACCTGACGCCTGCACGCTTCTCGGAACGCATGCGCGGCGTATGGTACACACTAACTAACATGACGGAATGAGCAAGACGACATACACTTTACAAGTCTGTTTTATAAACCTAAATGTTAGTATTGTTTCATACTAGCTTTTGCCCGTGGCTCCGCCCGCGTGTATGTCGGTTATCGCGGTAAAAAGTAGCCTATCCCTAATCTATCTAATATTAATGTATCCTTCCTCCAAAATTAACATAAAATTCATTTAAATCGGTTTTACGATTTAGCCGTGAAAGCCTAAGAGACAGAGAGACAGAGTTAATTTCGTATAATAAATATTATGGTAGGTATTATGTTATTTGTCATACAAATCATAACTTTAGTATTTAGTGACTAGGTTTATTTTTATATTTTACTACTTTAAAATGAGTAACTTTTCTCTTTCTCTCTTTTTCTGTTTAACATGCTTTTATTAGTTACACTTGGAATTAACAAACTAACCAAATAATTTTGTAAACTAATCCGTATCCTCAGGTAACCAAAGTCACTCCGTGAACAGAAATAAAGAATTATTTAAATTTTTCTGTTCGGTGTTATCACTCCGGTCAAGATTGTGAATCACGGCAATTTGTGAATATTGGTACATGTGGATGACAATACTATAATTTGGCATCAAGAAGCTGATTTTTTATCAGTGTTGATGTGATATTAAACTTAAATGTTAAGAAATTTCTTTACTTGAGAAGTGCACTGTCCCTAATACAAGTTTAGCACAAGCACCCTCTTTAGTCCACGCACACTGAGCACCGTTTAATTTTAGAAACACGAACATATACCCGCCACGATGAAAGCTTCACGACTGCTTATTTTCATTCTAATCTAAGAGCGAGTAGGTGAGCCTTCTTTATGATCTACGCCAAAGGTAGGCTTTGTTGTTAACATTTTTGTTTGCGTACATCGAGCGAGAAATCTTCAAACAAGCCTTTTCAAAAATGGCTATTTCCACCAGTTCTTGTTTCATTTTTGTATTTTTTATCTACCTCTATATTAAAAATAAAGATGATAACAGTTTCTAGTTGACGCAACTAACCTCTCAAATTAACACTATATATGAGCCCTGTGACGTGTCATAAGTACTTAGTAAGTTAGTGGTTGTCATAATTGCTTAAAATTATTTAAAAATCTTTGTGGCGCGGCCGCTAGTGCATGCAACTATCACTCCTAGTGTTTCGTGTTCTATCCCCACTGAGTGCGCATACTTGTATGCTTAAAATTGTCATACAATATTTTATGCTTAAAATTGTATTTTATTCATCCAAAAGTTTGGTACGTCAAAACTACTTTTCAAGAGTTCTAAAAATTTTGAGAACAAAGCCTCAGTTAATAGGATTATTTTAGAAAATAAAATTAAATATACACACTGTAACCAAACATGTTCTAGTTAAAAATAAAACTTTTAAGCGGGTTTCGTAAATAAGAGCAGATTGGTAACGCCACCTGTCCATAGAGAAAGGAACTCTTTAAGTTTTAGTTTAAATTCCCGCTAGGTGAGGCTGTCGGCACCTATCAATCCCTTGATCATATATCGACATCCCGCACGCACGCCGCTAAAAGAAAACAGTTCGGTGACGTTCGAGACGCGAGACACACCGCACGTTATTTTTTTCTCTCCGCTACCGCATCTCATATAAACTTTAAAAACCAAAAATATTGGTATAACACGCGCCGCGTTCAAGTGTCTTCGGATCACGCTACCGCATTGTCCGCTGAGTGTTAAATCGTGCCTTGCCGGCAAGCTAGTGTCTTTATACCGCGCAGCGCGCCGCCATTTTGTTTTCACAAGCCACACCGAAGCCACGAGAGACCAGGCCGCCTGATCAGCCCGCCAGGTCTGGACAGCAGCTCGACCAGCATCTCAAGACCATCAAGGTAGGCGTGCTTTCCCATATCCTTTTACCCACCTGTCCGGCAGCCGTAACGTACTCAGCATATCAGTTTCAGGCAGCGCTTAGTCGCTGAAGATATCTGCGCACCCGCTCATATGTATTAGCGCCAATAAATTCTATGGCCACCGCCAGTTGGCGCTAACATACATATTTATGGTCCTTCGGCCGCATCTCAGCTTAGAGCTATCCTTTGGGGTCCCTTTGACCCACCGCTTGTCAAGTCTAGATTCGTCTAGTACTTCCTAACCGCCCACTTATTAAGTCTAGATCCATCTAGAACTTAAACCCGCTTAACTAAGATCTATAATCCCGCCAATTTTCGCTTATCTAGCTATCGCCCGCTTAGTTATATATTCTAATTAAACCTAATTTCCTACCTAGGTAAACACTACCTACGTACCAACTTCGCATTCATTCTTCCGCGCCTTATAAGAGTTACCTACTTACTTAGATTATTTAATTTAACGTCATACAATAACTTGATTCATTAGTCAATTACG